AAAAAAATGCTTGAAAAGTTCCCAGTATTGTTGGACTGCAACTCTGAGAGACCAAGGTTTGATTCCCCACTTGGCTATGAAATCCATTGGGTGACCTTGGGCAAATCACATGCTCTCAACCTCAGGGGAAGACAATGGCAAATTTCCTCTGAATAAATCTTTCCAAGAAAATCCCATGATAGGTTCACCCTTAGGGTCTCCATAAGTTGGAAACGAGTTGAAGGCACACAACACCAACGAACAATAAATTGTTCAGTCTTTTTGCCTTAGCACAAGAACAGCAATTGCTGATTACTGCCCAGTTGTGCTACTTTGGCTTTCAAGACTGCAATAATACAAAGTAAGTCAAAATGAGTTATGGTTTGATAGGAAATGATGTCTTCAGGAAGGACGGACATTTCAGTAAAGTAGGTCGAAATAATAATTTTAGCTTTCTCATAAACGGGAGAGGACACTGAGTATCCCAGAAGAAGGCTTGCAGCAGGGAGAGCAGAGTTTAGGATTCTCTTCCATTTTTTCTCAGTCTCTGTGGTGAGCAAGGACAATCAACATCTTGGATTGCATTAGGATTTTATGGCATGGTGATACTTGTTGTGTTCCTCCTTGAAGAAATTGCATTCTGTAATGCTCTCCTGGTTTAATGATAGAAATGTTTGTGTAGTCAGGAAAGCATTTAATCCCACCTAATCTAGCTCCAGTGACAGTTCCTACCAGCACAAAACTGCCATTCCAAATATATGGCAGAGAGAGGGTATGTATGAAGCACTTACAGTGGCTGGTGGCTGACCCCATTCTAAAGGGGAGCATCTTTGAAGGCTGGTATCATCAGCAAAAACGATTGGTGCCTTTAAATGATGTCTTTAACTTCAACTATATTCTTTATTCTGTTTTCTAGGTGTCCACTGTACGCATGGCTTCAATCGTACTGGGTTTCTGATCTGTGCCTTTCTAGTTGAGAAACTGGACTGGAGGTAACTTTATACTTTTTTTTAAAAGTTGAAAATGTTGCTGGCTATACATGAATACATATAAATATAAGTGTTGCGTGGCTATGTGAGGTATGGATGCACTTTTTTTTGCTTAATATGATTTTAAAGTTTCCTGCTGCTTCAGTATACAGTATACAAGAAATGCTGATCTTTTTAGGTGCCAATTAAGAGAATTTTTCAATAACTCTTTTATGAATGTGACAAAGTAGTAATGGTGAACAATAGTTGATGAATTGTATAGGCAATAGCTGTTTGTAATTCATGAAGACAATTTTCTCCTAACAGTAGTGCATCTCTGAAATTAGGGAGTGATGTAATTACAAAGCCCCTGATGATAATAGGTTGGATGCTACATCTTGATCAGCTTTCATATGAACGGCACACATTTCCCTCAAATAAATCCCATTTAGCTGTTTCTGAATAGACATGCATTAATTTTCTGCTGAGAGTCAATATGATACTTTGTTCTTGTTCAGCATAAAGGAAAGATGGGAAGATGCTGGTATTGGCATTCAGTATGCACATAACAAGATTTCTAAAGTATTTTTCCCCAGCTTTGTGCATGCCACTTTAACATCCAATTTAATCTGCTTTTGGTTCAGGATTATGCAACATGCCAGTAGTACATGTATACATTTCAGTGTAGTACAGTATTATTATATGACTTCTAACATTTCTGACATCATATCCAAAACCTAGTAAACTAGTAAATTATGAGATTATTTTCAGTAAAAAGCAGATTTCTCATGCCTTCCCCACCCACATTTGTACAATAAAAAGGCAAAGAGGAAAGCTTTTAAAGTACTCTTTTGACTTTGGGCCTTTGCAGACTGCTAGAAATAGTGCAAATTGAGTC